AATGGAGGTGGAAAATGAATTCCGAATATCCTGAAAATGAAAATTTTGAAGCATAGAAAATAGAAATACATGCTTGTAAAAAAAATTAAAATATATATATATATATATATATGTGTGTGTGATATGGAATATGTCCTATAGATGTAGTTTTTTAAAAAAATAAAATAAAATTGTAGCTTGGCAATTGAATTGTTTTTGTTTTGTTTTTTCCAGTCATTTTTTAAAGAAAAATTGTATTGATTGGCATGCAATTGTTGAATCAATTTACACAAACAAATTATAAATAAGTAAGTAAAAGTGATCTCGATCATTTTCTTTTTCTTTTTTCCTTTTGCATTCTGAAAACACTACCAAAGCTTATTAACAAGTCAAATAAATGATGAGTATGAAAGTGATGCTAATTATGTGGTTGATAATAATTCCTGGGGTAGTACACTATATAGTCTAGAGTCTCCCTTAAATTTTAGCAGGCCACTGTAATTTTGTTTTTCGCTTTGACTAAAACATGCTGAAGCCATACACGCATACATTAATTAAATACAATACAAATGGTACCTTTTTAATGAGAATGACATTTCTACAATAAATGTAAAATTTCATGTTTGATTCATTCTTTACAAAAACTAGTATGGATATCATGTCATATTATTCCGTGTTTTGCCAATTGGCAGGGTAGAGGCAAACGCTTGCGAAAGCATTGCATCATGTCATGGTTTCTCAAGCAATGACCGCTTGTGTTTGTCACTAAACAAGATACTTTCATTCAATTATTGTATGTATAGCCATTTTTTATTCTTTAGGTGTTATTTAGTTTGAATGACTTTTCACAAGCAGTGAAAAGTGACTTCTGTAGTTGATGTAGATGTACATTTTCTAACAACTAAGTTGATGTAGATCATACATTTTCTGGGGCTGCCTTAACACGTAGAAGCTAATGAGAAGGGACACAATCTGGAAGGGAATAACATATAGAACCACAGCAGGAATGACAGAATGTCACGTCTCAAAAATATTTTTAGTACTCCAATGCACCGAGTATTCACACTACATCATTTATTAAAAATGATAAAAAATAATATTTTTAGAAGAAAAATATTCTTACTACTAAAATTTTCTACTACTAACTTATTACCTATCTAATCACCATTGAATCAAAGAGAAAGAATGCTAAAAAGTATAATGACCCAACTTGGTAAATCTTAATTAGAGATTTAATTTAAGGATTTAAATGCCATAATTAGATTCAGAGAGTGAATACGAGTATTTTGACTGTAATCATGACTATGTTATGAGCAGTGTGTTCTGTCGGAGAATTCGCAATACTGTGAATTAACCGGTAGAGTCCAGAAAATAAATAAATGACAGAATAAGAGTAAGGAAGTCCAATATATGCCATACAAGTCAAAATAGGCCCAATAATGATAAGTTTATAAGTTTTGAATTTCGAAAATAAAAGACTGACAGTTAGTGGTTCACAGTGCATTTCATCAAAAACGGTGCAGAAACCATATTGTGAATTATGAATATTGTTCCTTAGGAAATAAAAAAAAATTAATGTAAATGACTTTAGAAAAATAAAAATATATTTGTAGCTTTAAGTTATGTTCCAGATTATTTTAAGTAAAACACGCGATAGAAAAATAACCGGATTAAAAAGGGCCACATGTGCCCACTTTTTAAGTCACCTTAGTCTCACTTTCAAAACAATTTCTCTCTCTTCTCTTCTTCTAAAACCCGATCTGCACTTGGGAGAGAAAGGGATAGGGTTTGTTGATTTTTTTGCTTGATTTCCTTTGAATCTTCCACCAAAATACATGACCCACTACATGAAAATGCTTGGAAACCACACAATGAAGCCATTCCAACCCTCCATGTGAGCTATTGTTGAGTGTAGGAGGAGTTATTTTCCTTCCCAAAACCGTGGCACTATTCACCACTTGAAGAAGATGAAGTTTTCCATGAAGTTCTACTTGATGGAAGGCTCCTAGGTCTTGATTTGTGATATTGAGGTGACAAATCTTCACTTCCATGTTAATGTGAGGTTATATAAGTTATAAAATCATATATACATGCCATGGATGTGAAGGTTTGGTGGGTTAAAAATGTAATGAAGAGGAATAAGTGATAATTTGTATGTGTAAATGGAAGGATAAGCATGATTATGTATTTAATAAATTGAAGGAAAATTTTATGCCTCCTCCCCTTGATGGCTCGGCCTTGTAGAGTTTAGGGGGTTAGTGTGTAAATTCTTATTGCATTTATTGACAAGGAAAAACATGTTGTAATTTAGTGTAAAGTGATAAAGTGATATGAATGATTAATTGGAAAGAAATCTTTTGGAAACCTACCCCCCTTGAGGTTCGGCCTTGATGGTTTATAAGGCTTGAGTTCCAAAAGTTTTGTTGGAATTTAGGAGAGGTACGTTTATGTATGTAGAGTATTAAATAGAGATAGAGCATGTATTAATTGGTTAAAGTGTTGAGTACAATACATGAAATTATATGAATGATTGGTTAAAATGGGCTAGACTTGTGTATTGGCATAATATTGGCAAAAATATAAAGAAAGGAAAGTAAACAATAAAATGTGTGCTTATGAAATAATCATGGCATAATATCATTTTATTGATGCATTGGAAATTATTCTCTAGGTGTGCCTAGGGATTGAGAAGGAACGGAATTCTTTTGAAGCAATATAAATATTTGCGCAACAAGTGAAGGTATTGGTAAAGCTTCAAGAGGTAAGCTCTATGTTTAAGGAGTCTTTTCCTACTTGAGTGCTCCACCATGGTTAGTGAACTGTGGTTGGACTATATGACTGTTGTTGATACTCTGTATAGGTGCATTCATATAGAGTGATTTGATGATATGATTTGATATGATATGATTTGATATGATATGATTTGATATGAGACGATATGATATGACTGGGTATGATATGAGTTCTATATTGACTTCTGGTACACTGATGTCTTCTTGGGGTTTTCCTGAGATTGACAATGTACACCTCTGAGATACTCTGGTTCCGCTTGGGGTCATCCCTTGGGAACACGTGCGTTTGAATTCCGCTTGGGGTCATCCCTTGGGAATTACAGCGCACACCTCTGTTATGATATGGTTATATGTTTTGTTCTGTTATGATATCTGTTATATGTTGTACTGGTATACTCTGTATCTGACTTTCATGCAGGAGTGAGCCAGGGGTATGGAGAATTCTCTATAAACCTGGAGCTTACTGAGATTTGAAATCTTACCCCTCGTTGGGGCAACATTTTCAGGTGCACAGACTTCCGGTGAGCCTTCGTTAGGCAGGGACACGACACGGGGCTGAGACGTTTGACGGATCAGTATTTTGAGTAGCTGTAGGCTACTAATCTTTTTGGAGTGTACCTATGTATTTCGTATTTCCGTAGTGATGGATCATTATGTTAGATCCTGTATTTTGTATATGGCCTGTATATGTCTTGTACATGTCATTCAGTTGATGCATGTACCTTTTGTATTCAGGCATGTTGATATGACTATGTAGTATTCAGTTATGTTTCTGTATTGGACTGCATGCTGTTAGATTAGTGGCACGGAGCCAATTTCTGCATGCGCCTATGGATGGGTATCTGATTATATTACATGACTGGTACTTCTGAATATGAATATTATTGAAACTGTCTATCAGGAACTCTTGGGAGTGGGATTGGAAAATCCCCAGTTGTCCGATTTACAGAGGTTACTCTGTTCGATTTTTGGTAATGCTTTATATGAAGTTAAGAAGAAAAAGAAAAAGTTAGCCCGTATTTCCGTAAGATAAGTCTTCCGCTGTATCTGTTTATATCATATGTATGTTAATTGAACCGGCTCGAGACGGGGATGTTACAAAAAGTTTTTGAAAAAAGAGAAAATATTGATCCAATGATGATTAGATAGGTAATAAATTAGTAGTAGAAAATTTTAGTAATAAGAATATCTCTCCTTATAATTTTATCTTTATAATTATTTCGACTCTTGTCCCTTATTTTTTCCATTTTGACAAAAGAATATGTACTCGGTAACACCGAAAATAAGCTCCTTGGGTCTGTCGGGCTTAGTAGATTCTGGAACCTTTATCCTTTTCTTTTTTTTGGGTACAACGGAACCTTTATCCTTAGGTGGGCCCGTAAATGTTACTCACTCTTGTTAAAATTTTCTATTTTGTTGTGATTTTGATTCTCGATCCTTACTTAGACTTCTTATGTTGAATTAGAAACCGAAGAGCTAGGAATCTTGTATGAAAGCTTTAAACATATTCTGAAAAGCAATAAATTTTTTTTAAAAAAAATAAAATAAAAAAGCAATAAATTTCTTTACATCTTTATCAGAAACTTGTACCAAACACCAACTATTGCCATAAATAAAGGCCTTTTCTTTTTATATATATTTTGAATTCGTCTTACATTAAGAGGTGACTTTCACGTATGTTTTATTCGTTTCCATTTTTCCTTGTAGGTTGTCGTGGAATGTATGTCGAGGGTACAAGTTGGCTAATGTTCTGCATTTCGCCAATGGGATGGAATCGTGTTATACAGGTTGTATTTGAGCAATTAATGGGAATACATTTTTCTTTAATTTATTCGAACATGATTTAGTACATAGCAAGAAGCAATCAAGACTAATCCATAATTAAGTTTTTTGCTTTACAACCCAATGACTTAAGTCATGGAAACATGGTTATGGTTTTTATGATCCGTTGTGATGTAATTATGTGTAACCCTAAGCGTCTCTCATTTTCCTTCACAAATAAAGAAAAAAAGAATACATGGGTGTGTTCTACAAAAGCAATCAAGTAAGACGCACCTAAATCATTATTCCCACACGACATGTGTGGATAGATAGAAGCAATTGAATTCAATTTTTGTCGCAGGCCAATAAATATATATTAATATTCTTCTATTTTTTGTAATAACAGGATGAATCAAAAGTCACATGTAATAGCACAAAGTAAAAGGTGGGAGCTCCTACTTTCTCCCAGTATTAATATATGCATGAGATATTAACATAAAATAATTAAACTTACATTGCAGTATTTCAAATACTTCACCTCAAGATATTTAAAGTTTCAATGCGTTAGCACACCAGCAACTATTTCAATAGATGTATACAAATCCTAAAACTCCATTCAATCATACTGATCGGAGTTTTAAACATCTGCTTATTCATCTCCACTTGACTACATTGCTCAGCTCAATGTTGAAGACCAGTACAAAGTAAATATCCGTAGATAATTGGATTATGTGGCCAATGAAAAGAGTTTCATGATTACCTCAAAACTTTTTCACATGAACTAGCTCACCCTGCTTTACTCCGGATTCAAGCATTGCCTCTAAAACAGCAACATCTCTTGCACCCTCAACAAAAGACAGACGGTTCTCAGCCACAAACTGACTCCCTTTCTGCAAAAAGGAAGTAAATTAGACTAGAGAATAGCTCCCTGCACGGATTGATTTTTATCTCTTGATTATATTTGTATGAAGTTGTCTGAATCTACAGTTCCAGGTATGTTTGGACATATAATAGAGGAAATTAAGGTAACATATAGAACAAAAACAAAATGAGAACAATTTACAATGAAACTCAAATATGAGAAGATGGAAGCATTTTGTAAGAATATCAATTACCTTAAGGGTGTTTTCAGATACATCACTAAGAAAAGCTTTTAATTCTTCAGATACTCCACTGAATGGGAAAAAGGAGCTTTTGCTTTGTCCATCAGCACCATATGATGAAACCTATACAGCATCATAAGACATAAAAAAGTGCTGACATTTAAGGTAAGAAAATAATGAAGAAAACAGACTCTTCTTTGATTCAAATAAATTGCAACTCGAGTGGGTATTGAAGGAAAAGCTCAAATCCTACTTAAGATATTGATAATTTATGAAAACCTGTGACTGAAACTATAGTACGCACCAGGTAACCATGTTGGCCTTGGAATCCACGCTCAACTTGCACCGTTCCATTCATACCAACAACTCGCCACAAGGTCTATAATTTGTTAAATGCCATAAGTAAAGACAGAAGAATAAATGCATGAATAGTGAGCATATCTGCGTGTTGCACGTGTGTGTATTTGTAAGATGAATGACCATTTACCACATGCCTTGGGTGATCTCGAGGACACAACCATTGCAAATACTCCTGAAGATCCATTCTCCAAATGACTAAGGCAAAACATTCCAAAATTAATTTTAGATTTCCAGACGTGTTGTAAAGCTAACTCCATGAAATAGAGGCGCTTACAAGACAGATGATATATTGTCTGGCGGAGGTAAGGTCAAATCCACATGAGATGTCATAGCTGAAACTGAAACCACCTCACACCCAACAAGCTGCCAAAAAAAACAACGGATAAGATCATCATTATGTAGAAATCAAGCCTAACAGCCCCTTTTCTAGGATTTCTAACTTTTTAAGTAGAAACGAAATTTCATCAACATTTAGAATCACGAGCAATTTTACCAGTTGAGGCTCGTTCTGGTGCTAAAATTAAAGCAGCTGTGTTCTACAATTTATGCACTTAGTAGTATTTAGCGTGAAACTATAAGCATTTCACAATACAGTCTTTCACAAAAAATTGAATCAGATAAACAATTGCCTATGTATGTATGCATGGCCTATCCCAAGTCAAAGCAAAGGAGGAGGGCTAGCATCGGGCGTAGCTAGGGGTGTAAATGGGCCAGGTTGGGCTGGGCTTTGGCCTTCCTAGCCTAAGCCTACGTAAAAAAATATTCAGCCTATCTGGTCAATTGACCTACTAAAAGCTTTATTTATAGGCCAAGTCTGGCCTATTTTTAAAAATTAGAGAGCCTTATATGGCCTATAGGCCTTGTAGGCCTCCCTAGTGAAATATTTTTTAAAATTTAAAAATATTTTTAACAATTTTTAAAATATTCGCTTGACATTACAAGTCATTAACGTGTTCATAAATTGCTGCATTTTTTTAAACGAGATATAAATTTCACTAATGAGCATTAAAACTTTTACAATAGTAAAAAAATAACTATAAAAATATACTGAGTAAAGTTCTATTCATGCATGCACTAGTACTTCTCATAATTCATAAAAAATGACAAACAAGAAAGAGTCAAAATAATACCTCAGCTCTATAATGTATATCATATACCCTAAAATAAATATATTATATTATATTATTTTAAAAAATTAAATAGGCCAGCCTACAAGATTTTAGACCAGGCTTGACAAAATTGGCCTAAGGCCTACTTGTTAAAAAGGCTTTCTTATAAGTCTAAGCATACTCTATTTTTCAACGTAGGCCGGGTTAGGCCAGGCTCAATGCAGGCCGGGCTGTAGGCTGTAGGCCAGGCCAGGCCAGCCTGGCCCATTTACACCCCTAGGCGTAGCGAGCCAGCCATAAAAGAAAACAACTATTTTTATGAGATGAACCCTTATATTATTTTTCGTTGGAATGCACCCTTTTTAGTAACGTGTTGCATTGGACCCCAAGTGTAGGGAAAAATGAGCTAGGGTCCTTGCCCCAAGGCAAGACGCCACATCTTTACCCAGATTTGGTGATAAGTATGCCAAGGTCCCAGCACGCTTGTGGACAAGCTTGGCAGGCAAGAAATGCCCGAGGGATAAAGATGCAATTAGGAAACTGGAACATAGGAACCTTAACAGATAAGTTGAAGGAGTTAGCAAATGTTTTTACTAGAATGAGGGTGAAAATTGCGTGCTTGCAAGAGACTAAGCGGGTTGACGAAAAAGCTAAGGAAGTCGAAGACACCAATTTCAAGTTGTGGTACACAGGTATCAACAGGATTAAATATAGGGTGGAGATTATGATCGATAAGAGTGTAAGAGATAGGGTTTCTGATGTCAGGACAAAAGGTGACAAGATTATTTTGGTTAAGCTAGTAGTGGGTGATTTAATTTTCAGTATCCTGAGTGAGTGGATAAGTCAGAGTCTATTTTCTTGATATGCCAGTTGATGGAAATATATCGAAAAAAGAAGAATAACCTACATATGGTGTTTTTTTTTTTATCTCGAGGAGGTGTATGATAGGATTTCAAAAAAAGATTCTAGGTTGGGTTCTCGAGAGGAAAAAAAGTATCATCAAAGTATATAGAGGCAATCAAGGATATGTATGATGGTGTTACCATATGTGTGAAAGCTTGTAATGGAACATCAAGTTATTTTCTTATCACGGTAGCTGTAAACCAATGTTCTACTTTGAGTCTTTATCTTTTTGCTCTAGATATGAATGAAATAACAAAAGATATCCAAGAAGATGTTCCATTGTGTATGTTATTTGCATATGATATTGTACTTATTGATGAGACCAAAGTTGGTGTTAATAAAAACAAAATTGTGGAGAAGCACGTTGAAGTCTAAATGATTTACGCTAAGTCGAAGTAAGACTGAGTATATGAAGTGTGAATTTGCTCTGGCAAAAGATGAAGACCAAGATTTTGTGCAATTGCTTGGACATGAGTTACTCAAGAAAAATGTTTTTCGAAATTTGGTATATATTTTGCAAAAAGGTGGAGAGATTGATGAGAATGTAAACTATTGATCAGGCAAGTTGGATGAAATGACGCAATACATCAGGGTTTTTGTATGACCGTAAAATTCCTCTATGGCTAAATATAGAACAGTAGTAAGGCTTGCAATGTTATACGGAGTTGAATGTTGGCTAGCAAATAAATAACATGAGCATAAAATGAGAGTAGCAAAAACAAGGATGATAAGGTGGATGTATGGTTATACAATGATAAATAAGATAAAAAATGAAGATATTCAACGGAAGGTAGAAGTAGCACTTGTGGCTGAAAAGATGAGAGAACATAGATTACGATAATATGGACATAACATGTGAAGACCCCTAGATGCTCTTCCATGAGAACAAAAATTTATTACTAGGAGCTTAACTCAGAGAGTAAGAGATCGGCTAAAACCTACTTGGAAGAAAGTAGTACAACAAAACTTAATAGAATGTGAATTAGATTGGTGTATAGTGTGTCTTGAGACGACTTGGAGGAAAGCTATTAACATTATGAAGGGGTAAATCCATTTTCTACCTACGTTCCAAACAGTTCCTGGATAGTCTTTTTTTCCTATATTTTCCTTTTATTTATTTATTTATTTTTCTCTGACTTATTTTTCCCTTTTATTATATCTATTTATTTATTTTATTATATTTTTTCCCTTTTTTTTCTTCTTATTTATTTGTCTCTCTTATCTATTTTTATTTTCACTTTATTTTTATTTTTATTTTATTATATTAATTTATTTTTTTCCTTTCCTTTCCTTCTATCTTTTCATTTGGGTTCATCGACCACCAACGACCAACCTCAACTAGTTTGGGATAAAGGTGTTGTTGATAATATTGATGTAGACAAGCAATTGTTTTTCGATACTCAAGTGTATTTTGTAGGACTAATAAGAGAGTTTTGATAAATACTGGCTCATTATTTAAGATTTAGATGCCAATGAGTCTCAGTTGATTAGACCCATAATCAGAAGAGTTTATCTGCACCATCAATTGCATTAGAAAAACCAGAAGGACATTAGTTAATGAAAAAAAAAATAGTACGTGAATTATACAATAAAGTCGTTAAGATTACCATTCTTAACCCTGCAATGAAATGCACGCCCATATCAAGTATGAAACCTCCCTGCCAGAAAGAAAAAATGATCACATACGGAACAGAGAAAAACAAGTTTAGCAAGATAAAACAGGAATGAACTATTATGTTAATAAAATGTGAAGTTATTAAAAATTTCCAGAATTTACAATAGCCTAGCTAGTATAGCCTCAGAAAAGGAAATATGAAGTCTACTAAAAATGAAAAGGAATATGGAAAACTGAAACAAAGCTCAATGAAAAAATGTCGGAATTTCTCCGTACTCCATGGGTCATGCAATATAAAGAATTTAAGCTTGAGATACGAATCTCAACCTTATTCATAACTCATAAAGTTTGTGATTTTAAGACATCATATATTCTTCAATTATTACATTAAATAGTAGGGTTCTTTTACTTTTTAGACCAGAATAGTAGAGTTCAATGAAGAGATCCAAAGCAAAAGTTATATGACAAATGCTCTTCTGAATTTAAACATATACCAAATATGCAACATAATTACAAAAGCACATACAGTGAAATTGCGCCTCCAAGAGCTTGAAAAGTAGGGGTTTGAACTGTTCATTGATCCTTCAACAATAACTTGGACACTCATCATTTTCCCAATGTCGGCAATTAGTTTTTTGCACTGCCAAAAAATTTATGTGACTGGAAAGCCAGATTATAGTTAAGATCTCAAACAGAAGCTAGTACCTCTAGTAAGGCAGGCTCAAATCGGTAATTTTCAGCCACGGACCAAATTAATTGGCCAGGAGCATCAGCAGAAATAAAATTGTAGTTAGATAATGCAGTTTCCAACTCACTTGTACCTGCAGTATCAGATTGATATATAATTATGCCAAGAGTTTAAAATTTCAAAGAAGCATATTAAAATATTGTTTATACAAGACATGATAAAAATATGATCAACAAATTTTATAGGACCAACACGATAAGGTAACTGACAATTTCCATCTATTGGAGAGGGATAGAATATATGTGGATCGCCTAATATGGAAGATATCAATTTTGATAGAGGGAATAGTGTTTTACCAACTAATTATCCAAAGTATCATACGGTTCAATCAGACTTTCATTACACAAGTGAGATGGGATGGTCAACAACACCCCCTGGAGAAATTTTGTACTCCAGCTTTGTGCAACTTGGTATTTGACTCATGATTGTTACAAATAGGCATGATTATCACATCAAGTAAGCATAGCTATATTACTCTCTTGCTCTCTTGTTCTTTTCTAATTATTTTTTTTTTTATTATCTAGCTCTTTTCTATGAAACCCCAACCCAACTGCTGCAAGACTTGAAAGTACTAGATGAGACAATTCCCAGCATTCTGAGTCAATACTACCTCATCAGCAAAAGAGTGGCATCTTGACTTTCATTTTGAATTGGATCAAGCAAATTTCCATATGTAAAGAAAAAAATTCATTTTCATACACAGTGCAAAGAAAAGAAATGATAAATAATAATGATAATAATAATAATAAGAGGATCTAGCAAGGGCCATCTAAAATGTTCATTTACTTAGGAAGTTTATCAAAGCTATAACAAAATACTACTTACAAGATGCCGCAGGTTTCTCTTCATATCCACCAATTAGCCACCCAACACATACAATATATCCAAACAAATATGAAATTTAGTCAACGGCAACAAAGATTATTAATAAATTACCAAATATCAAGCATAATGTTAATGGGCAGGCAAGTGCGCCTCACTGTCTCAATTAAACTGCCCCTCTTCAAAAAAATATCTGGCAAACCAAACATCAACATACGCAGTACATTTTACACAATCATTCATTACCTTGAAGGACATGTTTACCCGCCTTTAGCATCCTCAGTGAGATGTCAACCTGCAACAATTATTGTTCGTAAAAAAAAAAGTATATATTTGTAAAATCTGAAGAATTCAAGTAAAAAATTCCTTCCAATTACTCTACATTTGACTTATTGCTTATTATTGTATATTTGACTTGTTGGTTACAAACTTCCAATTACTCTGGTAAATATATGTCAGGACTTATGGAGAAGTTAATGACATGACTAATGATCAATTGTTGAAAAACCATAAATTTGAAGATTTATGAAGTTTAATACATATCCAAAAATAAGCAAATGCTTAGTTATTTTCTAATACAACATGTCCACATTTGAATCTGTCGCAGCATAGGAACAATAAAAAATAGATTACATTGCCTTGAAACTTTACAAAGATACACATGTATGCATATACTGAAGCAGAGTTTGTGAATTTTTTTAGGTTGATATCTCACGCTTGAGTATATATGAGGCAGGTCAAAATAGCAGAATGTGAGGAAATATTCTCAGAGGAGAAGAAATATTTCAGTTAGTCATTCACAAATCTTTATGACTTGGATAGAAATTATTAAAAAAAGCAAAAAATATTATAGAATGCCTAATTAATGATTTATATAAAAGGTTTCATTTCAAAATTAAAGCATGAAACCCTACTTTAACGTATGTATAGACAAACAATCCGTCATCAATTGAAATTGAAGGCTACTTTACCCATTTTTTTTAATTTATTTGAAGTTAATGTGAATGTTGATAAATTGAGGGGGGAAACTGAGAGAGAAACAAGAAACCTGATTTTGTCCAGCGAGAACCACAGCAACTGCAGTTATTGATGGATCTTGGATGATGTCATCAAGACCGTTATCTCCATACTTACACTCTACTCCAGGAAAATGTTTCTGAGCTATTTCTACAGCAGCTGTAGCCGATTCCTATGCACAAAAATGGAATTGAATAATTTCAAATTCGGAAGCATTAAATTGGAAATGAAAATGGAAGATGAGGAGAAAAAGTACCTGAGTACGGCTCCAAATGGCTTTGAGAAGGAGGAGATGAGAGATCTCGGAGAGTCTTGGAAGGTATTGATTCTTCACAAACGTACCAGCTCCCAGAATCGCAATCTGTGGTGGCTTCGTCGCCATAACTACAAATCTACAATACAATGTGACTCTTTTACTCTGCGCAGGTTTCCGCAATTTCAAATCAAATCTCACCCTAGTTTTTCTCGTTCGCTTTATTAGTTCTTAAAACCAGCTTTTTGATGGGATTTGATAATGCACAATGTCATTGAGCGTCCAATGCACGTTTTATTTTTATTTTTTCTCCTTATTCTTAACAACAGAGACTGGCCAAGTCATAATTTTTTAATTCACAGTTTTATTGATGCTGATGTTGATGGTGATTAACAAATTCTGGCTTTTAAGGCTATGTAGCCTTGCTTTTTGTGTGCGTGAAAATCTTTAAAAGTCATAATTTTTTAATTCTCAGTATTTCTCTTTCGCTTTAATTCTTAAATCAACTAGTTGATGGGATTTGATAATGCAAAATGTCACTGGGAAATATTGAGAATTAAAAATAAATAAATTATTCTTTCAGATTTAAAAGTTTTTTATTTGTCTCCATTTTAATGAATATTTATAAACTTTAATAAAAGTTTGCCTATTTAATGTTTAAAAAAATAGATATAGAATAAAATTTTAACCGAAAATTCATTTGCAAGCACGTTTAGTTGTTTGTTTTTCTCCTTATTCTAATAAAAATAGGCCAAGTCATTATTTTTTAATTTCTAATTTATTGATTATTTAGATAAATCCTTCTCTAATTTCTAATAAAATAAATCATTTTCATCATTTTAATTTATTTAACAATTATCTTTAATATTCACATATTCTGGCTTTTGAGGATATGTAGTGTTATTCTTTTTGGCGCGCGGAAATCTGAAAAGACAGAATGATATGGTTCAGCAACATTATTTCAAAGGTAAGAGGATCGCCAATTATTCATTTATATTTATAATAAACAAATTAATGTACAACCCAAAGGATCTAAACCATTTAATGAGTATCTCCATGAAATTTTATTTTTATTTTTCTATATACACATGTATTTTTTTATGGGATACAATCCTATTCGAGTCCAGAAATATTCACATCACAATGAAATTAGCTCTTTCAAAAGAATCTTTTTTCATTTATAAGAATTTGAACTCAAAATCTTACTTAAACGAAATCAATCTATGTACACTTGAACTAACCTCTTTTGAACTGCATGTTATTCTTTAATAAGTTTATTTTATTTAAAAACCATCTTATTAATATTTATTTTCTGGACCGGCCTCATAATTCTAGTTTGTAGATTTTAGAGGCCCGGCTCGTTTAAGGGGACGTTTTGTTGAGATTTTTTTTTTTAATACTAAGAAAATGTAATTAATAGGGAAATGGTTGGAAAGTGAGTTTGGTAAGAAATTGTAAAAAAAATTGTTTGGTTGGAAAAAATTTACCAAACAAATTAGGTAAAATTTATAAAATCTATGTTTGGTTTGAGATAAAATATAGATGGGAAAATAGGTTAAAATTACCAAATTAATCCGTTTATAATTTTTGAATGTCAATATATGTTCTTTAGTTGGGGTATTTTGGTCTCCATCATGATGTCTCCCTTGCCATTTACCCAGGGGGTGTTTGGTTCAAGTTTTTGGAGAGAATTACCGGTAATCCTTCTTTGGTAAATGTAATTACCACGTTTGGTAGAAGAAATAAATTACGATTCCCAGATATCCAAGGATTACCGGTAATTTGATTTATAAAGAAAAGTCACTATTCAGATTACCAAAAATAATATGGTAATTCGGAATACCAATCAGAATACCAAGTGAAAGGAAAGCACAACAATAAATTTTGAGACAAAAATATCCCAATACACATAAAAATCTAGACCCAATCTATCAATTACAAAAGTAAAAATAGTTTGGGGTTATTTTTGTAAAATAACTTCATATTCCAAGTCATATTTCGTTCTAAACCAAATATGGAATCAGTAATTTTTACCCAATATTCCCGGTAATATTTTGGCGAACCAAACACATCTTTCGTAAGATTCCAAGTAAACTCAATTTCTACTGAATTCCCATTAATCATGATTCCCGGTCACCAAAAAATTTCTCCTGTACCAAACACACCCATACAATTACAAAAACCACCATTGAAGTTGTCATTTTAAATAGTGAAATATTCCTCATTTTTTACACACACTCTTCCAATGCTAGGAAAATAAGTTAGATGAGAAAATTTTAAAAAAATTTTCACCAAACATGAATGTCTAAGAATTCCAAAACCAAATGCATGGAATAATAAAGATATACATATACTCTCAACCAAACACCCCCTTAAAGTATTGTGCCATTCTAAAGAAAGACGTATAGATCCTTATTATAAAGAATCTCTTACTTTATCCACCTCAAAAAGCAGTGGATCTTTGGGCAGAAACCTATACATGTTCACTTCAATTGTTGAAAGAAATCTTATATCCAATATTACATTATTCTACCTAAATATAGAGTCACTGTGCTCATAACACCATCCCCTCTCTCAACTTTTACCTCGGATACACATGGTGATTGGTGACTCATCACATAACTTTGGTCCATCCCCTCTAAAAACACCATTGCAGTATTTACCATTATAAAATAATTTATCTTATCAAGGAATACAAACCTAAAGCTTAACAAACAGTTCAATCTATAAATAACCACAAGCAGAAAATAGTAAAAGAATTTCTGGTTAAATTATTTATTTATTTATTTTTATAAATTTAGAGTGGGCTACTGGGACTAATAGGGATGTGGAATGTGTTGTGGAGGATCTCGAAGTTGCGGTGGATAAATGGTACATGGAAGCTCATGAGACTGACGATAAGGTGTTTGATTCATGTCTCAGTTGAAGACAGATCATGCAATGCAGGTTACCAGAATGTCAAGTATGGGTCAGAGGGTTACCGTTTGAGCCATATGTCAGGTTGCGGTGTGGGTTTCATGTACTCAAAACATGTTTGACAAAAGTGGTTAAAATAACTTCTATTTATACTAAGAAGAGAAGCTAAAAATAAAACTTTCTAAATAGGTATTGAGTAGTCAGTACTCCTGTGTTACTAAATATTTTCGAATGGTAGGGACTAAGTTAAATACCATACTCAAATTGACCACCTTATGTTGATTCAATCTAGAAGGGAGTTTGTCAGAATATACGTAGAGATTGATATGGTTTATGGTTAGACGTTTGGTTTGATTTTTAAGAGTTTGTTTGGTATTTTTTTTTTTAAGTTAAAAGTTATTTTGAAGTTAAAAAAAAAAAACTTAAAAAATAAAATTAAAATTTGTTTGGTGATTGTATAAAATGTTCTGATAGTTTTAAAAAAAGAAAGATGAAATAATTTATTATTAGAATGGATTATTAGAGTAAAGGATAAAATTTATAAATATAAATTTAGAATAAAGGTAAAATTATAAAATAAATATGATAAATGTGAAAAACTGACATATATCTTAAAAAAAGATCATTTTGGGAGATTTTAGCTTTTAGGTTTTTGTCTTCATTATATAAAAATATTTTTATAATAAGAATTTTTATAAAATTATGTTTGATTAAATTTTTATTTTGAAAGAGAAACGAAGCTAAAAATAAGACATGTCAAACATGCACTAAGATTCTCATCAATCACAAATTATACTTTAAGCGCTTTTGGTTCACCAAAAAAATAAATAAAATGCTATATCAAAATGTAAATAGATTATTGATTAACTATAAGTAAAGTACTGACTAAATCAATTTAAATTATTGATCAACTATGAGTAAATTACTAATTATATTAATTTAATAATTAATCGATATAAAAAAAGATTTTAAAAATAAAGGTTTTGCCATGTTTTAAAATGTGCGTGTATAAATTAAATTCTTATTATGTCATAAAAAAGAAAAAGCTTTTCTAAAATATGCTTATCTCTAAAATAAGCAAATTAAACTCATCCTTGAATTTCAAGATGTTTAAATCACAATAAATTTTAAATTCATTAACAAAATATACACCTATACTTGTTGATTTTAAAAAAAAAGGGAGCCTTGATTATCCTATTAAAAAAATTATTAAACTGAAATGGAAAACATCTTAGCCCAGATTTTTGGTTTTGGGTCATTTTCTCAAAATAGAGAACATCTTTTCAATCCTGAACGGAATCATAGAACACGAAATCAAGCACCCGCCACCGGGGTCCGGGGCAAGGGCTGTGAAAATACGCTCCAATATTTCTGTTGCGAGTCTTGTCATTTGCAAGCTTCATGAAGTGGTCGAGTGAGGGTGGATTAGAAAGGACCATCTCTCCCCTCTAATTTCATACAAACATTTAAGTTTGAGCATAATTTTTTATTTTCTCATCACATAATTAATTATCACCCCCTCAAAACTTCAAAAACTATATAATTGTAAACACCATTTTTTTTTTCGTATGAATAATTATTAACTTTACATACATCACTAGCGGATCTGTATTGGTGCAAGTGACTGAAACTTTTGAAAAAAAAAAAATTCAAGGAAATCGGTGCATAGTCGCGGTCATCCTTCATCAAGTACGGAGAGAGAAAGCAATCACTATTCTTATTTCTCATTTAAGAAAAAACGTTGAAGTTGAAAGAAATTGAAATCCAGAGTCACCGATAAGGTTCGGTGGAGAAAGAAAATAAAATTAAATACTAGTTTTAATAATTCTATTTGATGCATGATTGCATAAACAGTTAGCTGAAGCACATAAATACCATTAGAAATGTTCATTTAAAAGACTTGCATAAATATATGCTAATAAGAATTACAAATTATCATTTTTCCTTACCAATCAATCTTTCAGCATTGTTTGTTTTTGATTTATTGACTTTAAACGTCGTATCAGCTTGTTTAAATATTTCTCTCCCTCTTTGTTTGTTTTATTAACTTTTATAATTAACTCGTAACAGTTTCCTACTTTTCACTTGAACGCGTTTGGTACGTGAATTCTATGAGAAAGAACGGGAAAGCTGAGACGAAAAAATATCTATATCAAGTTTGGTATGCAAATTCTTGAAAATTTCTTGGGCTACATTTCATTTCAGAAAATGGTCTTCTTTGATAAATATGATACGGAATGTGAAATCGAAGTTCCAAATGTAAAATGGAATTGTTGGCAGTTCGGGAAGAGAAAATCAAGCGGGAACAAATGGACAAAAATAACC